TCAGTGAATTCTAGCAAACAGTTAAGTACCAATTCTACCCAAACTTTTTCAGAAAATTCAAGAGGAAGGAATACTTCCTAAATCATTCTTTAAGGCCAGCATTGCCCTATACTGAAACTGGACAGAGACATTAAAAGAAAAGAAAGCCAGTGTTTCTTATGAACATAAATGCACAAACTCTAAACAAAATTTTAGCAATTGGAAACAATATATAAAGGCTAATAAATCATGATCAAGTGTGCTTAATCACAGCCATGCTTTTTTCAACGTTCGAAAAACTGTATAATTCCCTGTGTCCAGGCCAACTTCATGTCCACGTGACCTGTGTAGTCACACACTGCTGCACCCTTGGAAGAAGGGGTCCTGTCCTTGGCTTAATGTCCTGCTGTTACCATCTTGAAATTCTTCACAGTTTTACATTTGAACTTGTGATTTATATGTAAAGTCTTAAGGGACAGTGGAGCATGTGTGCAACCAGATAGGATACTTTAGAACAGGGGTCCTCAAACTTATTAAACAGGGGGCCAGTTCACTGTCCCTCAGATTGTTGGAGAGTATGCACTGTGGGCCCGGGTCGAGTTGGCTGCTAAGCAGGACAGGCAGCGTCGGCAAAAACACCCGGCGGGCCGGATAAATGTTCTTGGTGGGCTGCATGTGGCCTGCAGGCCGTAGTTTGAGGACCCCTGCTTTAGGCAGTGTGTTCCCTAAGCCATTGGTCTGGCTGTTTGATGTAGTCTGGGGTGTCCTGTTGATGTGAGTGGGTGACCAAGGTCAGGACCCTTTTCCGCACTGATGACAGCAGCAGCAAACCCAGCAACTGTAGCCCAGTGGTTGCAGCCCCCAGGTACTACCCACAGTGGAAGGGCAGCTTGCCTGTCTCTTCTCTTGAGTCTGTTCCTCTGGCACCTGCATGAAATATTTTCTGGCCTGAATACTGGGACAATAACCCTCCACCATTTAGGCAATAATCATTGTTAGTGAAGTATTATGGAACAAAAGCATACTTGTAAATATTGGGTTAAGGCATATCAGGCAGTTACTAGAATGCTTCAGAGTATAGACTGGTCTTGAGAACTGCTGCAGTATTGCAAAGGAAGTATCTGAATGCTTAGAAATAGAATTTGATGGAAAACATTATTTTCATATGGAATTTTAGATGAGCTAACTCTTAACAAGGAAATTAATTTTTAAAATGTTTTTTCCTTGCATTTGAAATTACAGCAGTAGACTGCATAACAGGTGTTTTGAATTCTATACAAATCATGAAGCCATTTTTGGTTTCTTGTACAGTTACAGAAAATGTCAGAGAAATCATTAAAATGCCATTGTATAATATAAATCTACATTTAAAATTAAATTCAGATTTACACAAAACTAATATTTATGAAGAATTAGTTTTAGAAAACTCCTCCAGAATATTTTTCTCTATATATGCTAAAAGTTATATTTTCAAATAATGTATCAGAAATCAGAAATTTAGATCACGTTGTCCCAACCCATAAAGTACTCTTAACAGCTCCAGTAACAGTTGTGTCAATTGAAAGAACCTTCTCAGAATTAAAATCAGTGAAAATTATTTATCTTGCATTTGCCAAGAATAGCTAGTGTTACTTTTAATTATATTAATAAATGAATTTGCAGAAGGGGGTGTGAGAAAAATCTTATAATCAATACATCATATTAACAAACTATTAGTAATTAATGTATTACATAGTAATTGTACCAAAAATATAATTTTATAATTTGTAAGTTTGTTGTTACTCATCTACCTTTATTATACATGTTAGTACCTAATAAAATATTTTTAAAGGAAAAGACATAATTTATTTGATTTCTTACTAAATTTTTCTTTATGCTCTTTGAGGAACTGGCCCCAAATTTTCATTTTGCACAGGCACTTTCAATTATGTAGTCAATCAATCCCTGCTCTGTATTTAAAAAAGAAAAACAGGTCAGATCCATATGTTTATTCAGAGAAGGCATTTGACAAAATTGAGCATCCATTTCTGATTAAAACTCTCCAATGGCCGGGCGTGGTGGCTCACGCCTGTAATCCTAGCACTTTGGGAGGCTGAGGCGGGCGGATTGCTCAAGGTCAGGAGTTCGAAACCAGCCTGAGCAAGACCCCATCTCTACCAAAAATAGAAATAAATTAATTGACCAACTAAAAAATAATATGTATACAAAAAAAAAAATTAGCCGGGCATGGTGGCACATGCCTGTAGTCCCAGCTACTCGGGAGACTGAGGCAGTAGGATCGCTGAGCCCCGGAGATTGAGGTTGCTGTGAGCTAGGCTGATGCCACAGCACTCACTCTAGCCTGGGCAACAAAGTGAGACTCTGTCTCAAAAAAAAAAACAAACAAACAAAAACTCTCCAATGAAGAATAGAAGGTACCTTCTTTAATCTGATAAAGGGATTCTATATGAAACTGACAACTGACATTGTATGTAATTGTGAAAAACTGAATTCTTTCTTTCCAGTATCAGGAACATGACAAGATGTTCAGTCATGCTCTATAGTGTGATATAGTCCAACTAGTGTAATCAGGGAAGAAAAGAATAAAAGGAGGCCAGAGTGGAAAAGAAGTAAACTGTCTTTATTCACAAAAGACATGATTTATCTATGTAGAAAATCCAACCAAAAAAAAAAAGATTGAAACAATTAGTGAATATTGCTAGCTGCAGGAGAGATATACAAAAATCAGTTTCGATATACTAGCAATGGTTAATTGAAAATTAAAATTTTAGAATATTCTATTTACAAAGCGTCAAAATTTTTTTGCAGATACATGGCAAAAAATGTGAAAAACCCACACTGGAAACTATAAGCCATTGCAGAGAGAAATTAAAGACTTATGAAATGTAGTTCCCTGCTTGTGTGTCAGAAAGCTCAATATTGTAACATGTTCTTCTTAATTTCTGTCATTTAAGTCACCCAGTCTGCAGCATTTTATTATAGCAGCCTGAGCAGTCTCCTTGAATCGATAAATTGAAAACAATCCCAGTCTAATTCTGTGAAGTAATTAGCAGGCTTCTTGTGGTAATTGACGCTAATCTAAACTTTCTGTGAAAGTACAAGGAGCTAAAATAACTGAAACTTTGAAAAATGAAAGCTGAGTTTTAGAGACAATACTAATTGGTTTCAAGAGTCATTATAAAGTTACAGTAAAGTTTGTTAAGACTTGGTCTTTTTGGTCCAGGGGACTTTTCCTTCAATTTTAAGTTCTTCTGGTTTTATTAAGTTATGTCTTAGGACTGTTTCAGGTCAGTTTTCCTTAGGTTCATGGTGGTTCCTTTAAATATGTGGATCAGGATCAGGTCTTTTTTTATTTGGAGAGTTTTCTTAGATTATTGTGGGCTTTTTGTTCTTTTTTTTTTTTTTTTGTAAAAGAGACAGGATCTGGATGTTTAACTCAGGCTGGAGTACTGCAGTGCATTCATAGTTCACTGCAGTCTCAAACTCCTGGGCTCAAGTGATACTCCAGCGTCAACTTCCTGAGTAGCTGGGACTATAGGCACCTGCCACCACAGCTAATTTTTCTATTTTTTATGGGGATGGGGTCTTGCTCTTGCTCAGGCTGGTCTTAGACTCCTGGCCTCAAACCTACCACCTCAGCCTCCCCAAATGCTGGGATTACAGGTATGAGCTACCATGCCTGGCCAGATTATAGTTTTAATATTAGATTTATTCCATTGTTTTCTTTTTTGTTATTTAGTGACTGCAGTAACTTATTTATAATACATGATAGTTTTGTCTATTTAGTTACAGACTATTTATCCAGAACTTTCTGGTCCAGTTTTCTTCTTCTTTTAGTCTTTTTTGGTTGTTGCTGCTCCTTTTTCTCTTTTCATTCCCCTTTTTGATGCTATTTATTAAAATTTCATTCAAGTCTATTTTACCCTTGGGCTCTGTATTAGACTGCTCAGGCTGCTATAATAAAATGCCACAGACTGGGTGATTTAAATGACAGAAATTTATTTTCTCACAATTCTAGAGGCTAGAAGTCCAAGGTCAGGGTGCCACAGGGTTGGGTTTCTGGTGAAGTTTTTCTCTTTGGCTTGCAGATGGCGCCTTCTTGTTTTGTGCTCACATGGTCTTTTTTCTGTGCCTGTGCGCTGTGGTTGAGGGGATGGGGAGAGAGCAGGCGTGCACTCTGGAGTCTTCCTGTCAGAGTAAGGCCTTACTTGTATAAGCCCATTTAATCTTAATTACCTCGTGAAAGACCCTGTGTTTTGAGATAAGGCTTCAAAATATAAATTTTGAGGAGGATGCAGTTTAATCCTTAACAAGTTCCTTATAATTTACATCCTATTTTCACTCCTGAGTTTGGTCAGCCTTTTCCTCTGTACCCTATACTCCAAGTCCCTTGTGTTGGATTTTCCAGTAGCTTCAGCTTTGAACTACCTGACCTCAGATGACATTTCAGTATTTTCCCACTCAGAGTGGAAATTTCCCTTTCTGGGAATAACATTGTGTCTCATCACCTCTGAACCCTCTGTCTCCCGTATTCCATGTGATTGCCACAGTCTCCAGTTGAGTCTCTTCATAGGTGTGGACTGTCTTTTTTTTTTTTTTTTTTAATGTTTCTTAGTGGCAATTTGAAATTAGTATTCTTTGTCTCCTACTTATGCTACAGGTCATGAGTTATTATAGATAATCTTATTTATTTTCCTTATGTTAATCCTCATAGTTTTTTGGGGGATACATGGAGAAATAAGATGTAAGCAATTGCTGTTATCTTTTATACATTGGAAACCAAATGTATGTGTTCGAATACATAAATTTCTCTTCCCTTTTCCACTATGCAAGGCATTTTGTTTTTATTTTTTGCCTCAAACCTGTGAAATAGAAAAAAATGTGCACTTAGAATTATTTTCTTACCTGGAAATTGGACAGAACAACCAGAGTCAGCTGTGATAGGTCATTTGTATAGAGGTCTCATTTCATAAGAAATGTGTTAGTATTTGTATGATAAGTTCAATTTTTCTTATTTCTAGACATTTGGAAAGCTGATCATCTGAAAGAGAGGAACCAAGAAAACAAACCTACACATTTGTGGGAAGTTGTAGTCATGAATAACAAAATGCTGACTAAGGTACAAGGTAATGTTGTAGGAAAACCATTTAACTTGGACATAAATTATTTTCCTTTGAGAAAAATATTCTGTCAGTGTAACTCATGTGAAATGAGTTTCAACAGTATTTCAAAATTGGTTTTCAGTAAGAACAACTATTTAGGAAAAAAGCCTAATGAATTTAATGCCTGTGGAAAATTTCTACTCAGTATTAAGCAGGAAAAGACTCATACTAAAGAGAAAAGTGAATGTTTTACCATTAGGAAAACCTTCACTCATCATGAGGATCCTATGCAGCATGAAAAGATTCAAACTTCAGAACAAAATTTTGAATATAATACATGTCAGGAAACCTTCCTTGAAAAGTCAGTATTTAATACACACAAGAAAGAGAACACAGAGGAGAATGGCTGTGCATATAATGAATACAGCAGAAGTTTCTGTGATGGGTCTTCCCTCTTGTTCCATCACATACCTCCCTCAAAAGAGAGTCACTATGAATTTAGTGATTGTGAGAAATCCTTACATGAGAAGTCTACCTTTTTGAAACATCCTGGGGTACATATGAAACACTATGAATACAATGAGAGTGGGAATAATTTCAGGAAGAAATTATATCTGTCACAATTTGAGAAAGCTGATAAAGGAGAGAAACACTTTGAATGTAATAAATGTGGGAAAGCTTTCTGGGAGAAACCACATCTCACTCGTCATCAGAGGGTCCACACAGGAGAGAAACGTTTTCAATGTAATGAATGTGGGAAAACATTCTGGGAGAAGTCAAACCTCACTAAACATCAGAGGTCACACACAGGGGAAAAACCTTATGAATGCAATGAATGTGGGAAATCATTTAGTCACAAGTCAGCCCTCACATTACACCAGAGAATACATACAGGGGAGAAACCCTATCAGTGTAATGCATGTGGGAAAACTTTTTACCAGAAGTCAGACCTCACTAAACATCAGAGAACACACACGGGGCTGAAACCGTATGAATGTTATGAATGTGGGAAATCCTTCTGTATGAATTCACACCTTATAATACATCAGAGAACTCACACAGGTGAGAAGCCCTTTGAGTGTTCTGAGTGTGGGAAATCCTTTTGTCAAAAGTCACATCTTACACAGCATCAGAGAACTCACACAGGGGATAAACCCTATGAATGTAATGTATGTGGGAAAACTTTTTACCACAAATCAGTACTCACCAGGCATCAGATAATTCATACAGGGTTGAAGCCTTATGAATGTTATGAATGTGGGAAAACATTCTGCTTGAAGTCAGACCTCACAGTACATCAGAGAACTCACACAGGAGAGAAACCTTTTGCATGTCCTGAATGTGGGAAATTTTTCAGCCATAAGTCAACCCTCTCTCAACATTATCGAACACACACAGGGGAGAAACCCCATGAATGTCATGAATGTGGAAAAATATTTTACAATAAATCCTACCTAACCAAACATAATAGAACACATACAGGAGAGAAACCCTATGAATGCAATGAATGTGGGAAAACTTTCTGTCAGAAATCACAACTCACTCAGCATCAGAGAATTCACATAGGGGAGAAACCCTATGAATGCCATGAATGTGGAAAAGCTTTCTGCCATAAGTCAGCTCTAATCGTGCATCAGAGAACCCATACAAAAGAAAAGCCCTATAAATGTGGTGATTGTGGAAAATCTTTCTGTGTGAAGTCAGGACTTACTTTACATCAGAGAAAACACACAGGGGAGAAACCGTATGAATGTAATGAATGTGGGAAGTCCTTCAGTCACAAATCATCCCTCACAGTTCATCACAGGGCTCACACAGGAGAGAAATCTTGTCAATGTAATGAATGTGGGAAAATTTTTTACCGTAACTCAGACCTTGCTAAACACCAGAGATCACACACAGGAGAAAAGCCCTATGAATGTAACACATGTGGAAAAACCTTCTCTCAAAAGTCAAATCTCATTGTACATCAGAGAACACACACAGAAGAAAAACATTTTGAATGAAATGAATATTAGAAATGTTCAGCTACAAGTCAGCCTCCATGACACTCTAAGAATATTAAGACTATGGAGGAAGCTCTGTTGACATTGTAAATGTTCAGTAACCATCACAAACTGGCTTTATTTTACTCCAAAGTAATGATAGGGATAAATCCATAGACTACCATAATTATTTGTTGAGAAGTGATATTCCATTGAATGTTAGGTGGTTAATACTCGTATAAAACCTTACAGATTTTGTGAATTTGTGAAAGCTTTTGGCAAAAATACAGTCAGGATTGTGTCAGGGGAGAAATTTGCCAATTTAAGAAATATAAATTGAAAATTTTGCTTAGAAATAATATATTACAAGTTGTGTTTGGGGTTTGATGTCATAGGAATCTTTAGGAAACATTACAAACAGTATTTTGTGTGTGTGTGTGTGTATATATATATATATGGTGGAATGCAAAGCTTTAAAACTTTAAAAGTATTTTCAAAAGTTTTTATTAACATTTAACAAATAAAAAACATAGACTTACAAGAAGTTGTAATAAGAGTACCGAGAATTCCTATATGCCCTTTACCCAGATTCCTCTAATTATAATATCTTACATGTTCATAGTATATGCTCATATAGAAGAAATTTTGATGATACCATGCCACTAAGATACAGACGTTATTTAGATTTCACCAGTGTTTACATCGACCCTTTGTGTGTGTGTAGTTATATTAATATCAGGTTTTACCAGCTTAAGAATTGAGTAACCATCAACAAAACTAGGCTACAGAACTAAAAAAGATTCTGGGATCTATATTGCATCAAGATTCACAAAGGAAATTAGGATTAACTTTCAGGAAGTTTCCTTGTATTAATAACCACACCCTTTCTGCAACCCGACACCCAGCAACCACTTTAATATGAAACTTTTTAAAAGCATTGATAAATAGAATAATCAGAGCAATAATATTAAACACATATTAATTGTCCCTGAGGTATATAGGACTTATGTATGTAGTAATGGTTCTATATATATATTACATTTATTTCATAGGTATGATGGAACTTCACATAATTGTGAATAGGAAGTAGGTATCCTTGGGTTAATAGTTCTTATATCAGGCCCATCCCTTCTTCCTAAGGCTCTGGAGCAACAATTTAAAAGGAAACTCACAGAGATAATGTCTAACCATTTAAAAGTTATAAGTCAAAATATCAAAATGTTAAAAAAAAAAAAAAGGCATTCTGTTCATGTGAAGATTTAGGCCCTTCTCCACATTACTTCCTTTCTCTTATCCATGGTTTATCACATGCCATGAAATGCCTTGTACATGAGTGAACACTCCAGGCTCAGCCTGAGTGACTGTCCATACTTTCTGTAAGCAGCTGCCCTCTAAGATAGGGCCCAGGAAGGAGACCCACACACACAGACTAGGTGCACTAGGTGCTGCTTAGGGCTGCGGGACTGTCAGTTCAGGGTCCAGTGTTCTTAGACAGGGATTTAGGCTCTCAGAGACTTGACAGTATAAGTAGCAGGGTTGAGGCTAAAACAGGGTTAGAATCAAGCTGGGGTGGGGCTTGGATTGACAGTGTAAAGGTTGTATGCTATGTCACACAATCAGATTATACAGGCAATTTAAGATTATATAATCTAATGATCTTTGATTACACAAATAACCTGTTTCCAACTTAGGAAACTAGAAAAAGAAGAGCAAGTTTAATCAAAGTAAGCTGAAAAAAAATTAGAGTAAAAATCAGTGGGAATGAAAAGAGAAAATCAATGAAACCAAAACCTGGTTCTTTGAAAAAGTCAATAAAATTGATAAATCTCTAGCCAGGTTAACTAAGAACAAAGAGAAGACACACAAACTGCTAACATTAAAAAAGAAAGCAGGGCTATCACTGCTATTCCCATGGATGTTAAAAGTATTAGAGAGAAATATAATGGACAACCCTGCCCATACATTTGATAAGCTAGCTAAAATGGACCAATTTCTTGAAAGATGCATTTTATGAAAACTCACACAAGATTAACCTGAATAGGAACGTATCCATTAAAGAAATTGAATCATTAATTAATAATCTGAAACAGTAGTAGAACCAGATGTGTTCTACTGGTTTGAATTCCACCAAACGTTTAAGGTAGAAATAACACCAGTTCTCTCCAGTATCTTTCAGAAAGTAAAAGCAGAGGTAATACTTATTAACTCATTTCATAAGGCCACTATTACCCTAATACTAAAACCAGGCAAGATAGTACAAGAAAGGAAAACTACAGACCAGTATTTCAAATAAACATAGATACAGAAATTCTCAACAAAATATTAGCAAATCATATCCAACAAGGTATAAGAAGAATTACATACCACAGCCAAGGAGGTTTTATTGCAGTTATGCAAAGCTGGCTCAATATTAAAAAATCAGTGTAATTCATCACATTAACAGGCTAAAGATGAAAAGTGCTGATGTGTATAGATTCAGAAAAAGCATTTGACAAAATTCAATTCCCATTCATGATAAGACTTTTCAGTAAAGTAAGAATACAGTGTGACTTCCTCAATTTGATAAAGAACTTTTACAAAATCTACAGCAAACATACTTAGCATCTAAAAAAATGATGCTTTCCTGCTAAGATCAGGAACAAGGCAAGGACATCCCCTCTCAACAGTGGTTTTCAGTATCATTCTGGAAGTCCTAGCTCATGTAATGAGACAAGGAAATAAAGGATATACAGATTGGGAAGGAAGAAATAAAGTTTATTGCCTTTTTAAAAACAACAAAAATTTCGTGACACTACTAATTATAGCAGGTTTGTAAGAGATGGTGCTCAGACAGATAGTAAAAAGAAACGAGGCATCAAGCCATAAAAAGACATGGAGGAACCCTAAGTGCATATTATTAAGTGAAAGAAAGCTAGTCTGAAATGAGTTTATACTGTTATGTTTGTGGATATATGACCTTCTGGAAAAGGCACAACTATGGAGACAGTAAAAAAGATTGAGGGTTGCCAGGGGTTTGGGGAAGGTAAGGATGAATAGGTGGTTTTTAGAGCAGCGAAAAATGTGGGTTCTGTGATGGTGCATACGTGTATTATACATTTGTCAAACGCCGTAGAATGTAAAACAGTGAATCCTAATGTAAACCTTGGACTACAGCTAATAATATGTATCAGTATTGGCTCATCAATTGTGACAAATGTACCCACTAATGTACGATGTTAATAATTGGGGAAACTGGAGGAGGGAGGGTGAAAGGTTATGGTAATTTCCTGTACTTTCTGCTCAGCTTTTCTGTAACCTTAAAACTACTCTAAAATATGAAGTGTATTAAGGAAATAAATAAATAATCCCTGCCTACATTTAGCAATATAGATGGGTAAAAACATCATTCGTTATCAGTTTTCCCATACCAGAGGTGGAGGTGAGGGATGTAGTCTCAGCATTTTTATGTCAACAACAACTAAGCATATTTTCAATTATAGCTTTTTCCTTTTTTAAGCATTATATTTTTAGAATATAAGATAATTAAGTTCCTTATTACCCTTTATAATATCTTGTTTTTGTACTGTTTTTGTCAGTGATATATCTCTGTACTGAAACTATAATCACTGTTAATGAACATTTGAATTGGTTTTATGTGTCCCCAATATATTTTCAATTATATTAATAATAACTGTGGCTTGAAATTAAGGCCCAATATTCTCGGTGCTCTTGATATTCAAGGCCAAGCAGGGCCCAAATGTCCTAACTGCAAGTTTCCCTCCCCACTCTGCTCCCATAGATGAGGTCCCTAGCCTTATAGTCCTTATCAAGGGACCAGGCACAGTTCCTGCTTATCCCTGGGCAGCAACATTCTTCCCCTGTGCCAGCCCTGGGAAGTATTCAGACTAGCCCATCACACCCTCCCTCAGCAAACAGGGGTCACTGCCCCCTTCAATGCTACAGAGCTGTTCCCCACAACCCCTGATCTTGCACTCTGCTCCCAGCCATGCTGCCTGTGTGGCCTTGTATGGCCTGAAGGATCTTCCTCACCTAGTCTGAGAGGATGCCCAACTGACAAACTCATGTAGATCTCCTCTTTGAGTGGCAGCTGTCCTGGGTTTGATCATTCTGTAACCCAGTCCAATTTTAACTAACTGCAGTTGGCTAAGAGGTTCCATGATATGGCCAAAGCTACTTGACAGAATCACCAATTGCAAGACTTGTGCTTTGGCCTGGGCCTGGGATGAACTTGATTTTTTGAGGGAGGGATGTCTCATACCTGTTCCCACCCTAAAATGCTATTTTCCACCAGACAAAAATTGTTCATTGGCTCTCTTCCTTTATGACTTGCCATTGAGTTCAGCCTGGTTGGCTGGTGGTCTCGGACTCCCACCTGTGAAGGTGGTGACAACACAGCACCTTCACTGACGAGCACTTGAGACCACTTTCTAAGGGCTCCAGCTCTCTGGTTACTGTGTACAGCCTGGTGATCATCACAGGCTGAGTGGAGTACCACACAGACCCCTGGATTGAACAATGCAGAGGGCTCTTTGCAAAATTTGTGGAAAGATAGGAGACCACTGGGGGAGGTAAGTATGATACCCAGTTGCCTAACAAGAGGGCTTGTTCAGTTAAGGGGATGCACTTGCCTCTCTTCTGTGCTGCTCCTTCCCTTGCAGACAAGGCTGTTGCAGAGGATGGTTTCGATCCATCAACTTCTGGGTTATGGCCCAGCATCCTTTTGCTGCTTTATGCCTCTGATGTGATAAATACCCTAATCCTCACTGTAAGGGGAAAAACACCCATTTTGTCACCCGGTGAATGACAAATGCAGCGTCATCCCAGGATCTGTAAACCATGTGAAACAGTCATTGTTGAGGAGGCATCTAATCCTGATGATACCAATTTGAGGTTCTCTGGAGAAAGATACCAGATTTCTTTCCACAAATTGGAGAAACAAGATGACATTCGCCATGGTTTGAATGTTTGTTTTCCCTCCAAAATTCATGTTGAAACCTAAGCCCCAGTGCCTCAGCATATAACGGTGTGGCCTTTGGGAGTTGATTAGGTCATCAGGGCATGAATGGATTAGTGATCTTTTGAAAGAGCTGGAGAGGACCAGCTAGGTTCCTTTTTCCCCATTTCACCTTCTGCCATATGAAGGCACACTGCTGCTCCCCTCAGAAGGGCACAGCATGGAGGGGTTGGAAGCAGAGAACCAGCCCTCACCCCTGCTGGCTCCTTGTTTTTTGACTTCCCAGTCTCCAGAGTAGTTGTGAGAAGTCAATTTCTATTCTTTTAAACCTGCCCATTCTCATGCAGCACAGACTTAGAAATAATCTCTTGGAAATATGAGCACTTGATTAGCAATATTCTAATCTCTCATTTGAGTGTACATGAGGGATATGTTTGTTTTTTCTTTTTTTCTTTTAATTTTTTCTTTTTAATTTTGGCATAGTATGGGGGTACAGATTTTAAGGTTTCAATAAATGCCCTTTCCCCCCTCCCCCCACAAGTCTGGGTCCCAGCATTGACCAATCCCACAGATGGTAAACAACATGTCCATTCCATTTTGTATGTTATTATACCTTGCCCCCCTGCCCCTTTCCCAACTTTTTCCTTTTCAATTAACCTATTTATTGTAGAACTATCTGTGCACTTAGTTGTTTGCTCAGTTAATACGTTGGCTGGTGTATATGTTGCTTGTTTTGTTTTCCATCTTGGGGTACTTTCCCACTTAGTAAAGTAGGGTTCCAGCTTCTAAAACAGAAATATAAATGTGCTATATTCACCATTTTTCTTAAGAAGCTGAACAAGTTATCCATTGGTATTATATTACAATTTTTATTAAGCCATTTCTTGGTAATGGGCACTTGGGCGTTCAACAGGCTTGCGATGTATAAATTGTAATGCTATCAAACATTGGTGCAGTGTCTTTTGTATAGTGTTACATTGGATTCTTTGGGGTAGAATCCCAGCATGGGATTGTGGATCAAAACTGGTAGATTTCACTTGTATCGCTTAAGTTTTTTCCTTTAACTGTTTCCCAAACAGAGGTTGAAAACTAGTTTTACAGTCTTCAGTTGTATCCTCTTCTTCTCCGCTCCCACGCCAGCATATTGTTACTTTTTGAGATCTTTTTGATAAAGGCCATTTCACTTGTGTTAAAGTTGTAATTTTTCTCATTGTGTTTGATTTGCTTCTTCCCTGATTGATTAGGGATGGATTTTGTTTATTGGCCTTTCTTTTTCTTCCTTTTAGGAAAAAGTTTCTTAATTCCCAC